ATGCCCAGGACACAAGTTTCTGTCCTCTGTCACCTGCTCACACCTAAGTGTAAGACAAGCATACATTAAAAAACAGGCTCATACATGAAATCAGGAATCCACATTAATTGCAAGTATCTGATTCAATGTTTCATTCATAAATTCAGTATTGAATTTCAACTATGTGCCAGAGACTCTGCTAGGTACTAGAGAAATAGATGAAGTAAGCCATGGTCCCTGCCATAAAGGAGCTTATGGTTTATTTGGGGAGACAGAGTTATAAACATCTATAATATAAAGTGCTATAAAATATAAGCTGCGAAAGAGCTTTGGAGAAGGAGGCCTAGAGTCTGTCTGGGGGAGGCAGGGAAAGTTTTATAGTGGAAGTAGACCTTGAATCGAGGCTTAAAGAATGAGTAGGAGATTTATAGTGGGGGAAGTGTGTTCAGGACAGAAGCACAGACCCTATAGAGAGGATGCTGAGTCTGGAGAATGACAAGCTGTTCCCATGCTGGGCTGTGTAGCAGGTAGGGGGGAGAGGCAAGGGCTAAGCTGTCAGGGGTGTTAGTCGTGCTAATGCATTTGTTTGCTTCTGTAGGCAATGGGGGGATCTGGGGGGCCATTGCATCATGCTGAGTGGAAGAGCAACATGGTCACGCTGCAGTGGAGAAGATGGTTTGGAAGTGAGGCCATGACTCTGTTGTCCAGACCGTGAAGAGTACCTGCCAATAGCTCACTGCAATACAGGACAGCTAGCATTAATCAGGTGTGATGGGGCTCTTCCCTTGGCCCCTCAGATCTAACCCCCACTCTTCTCACCATGCTCTGTGCCCCATGAGGATAACCTTCATGGACTGTGTCATACCTGAATGGCCTCCTGCCCCTGGGGGTCTAGCTGGGGTCTGCTAATGGAAGCCCAGGCAGGAGATGGAAAGGAGGCAGGTGCCTGTGTGAAGTCAAGGTGCTCATTCTCCTGGGTCCTCCCCTGTGGGGTTACTTTGGTCTGATTTTGCCCCTTGATGGAAATCATAGCCCCTCTCAGAGCGGTCTTCTCTGCAAGACCCTTTGCCTTTTGAGTTCCAGTAACCCCTCCTGTCCTTACTCCTTTAGGCACAGGGATGTTTAGAGTCTCAGTAGCCTTTGAGTACTACACTGTTCCTTGCAGTTTCTTGGCATTCTGCCCGTACCTCCCTAATCTGTTCTTTATTATGAATCTTCCTTGAATTATCCAAATTCAAGTAGGTCCTTCACGGCTTTGGGGAGCTTTCCATATCGTGGGGTCGTGACTGGTCTGTACCAGGTGAGACAGGAGGATAGTGCATAGAGCTAGCTGTTTGTACCACCTGAGCAGGGAAGGAGGAACCCAGAGGGCTGCAGAGAAGAGGTGGCCCTGGAGCTCTGTCCTGAAAGATGAGTCTGAGTTTCCCAGGCATTCAGAGTATGGAACGCATCTGGACAGAGTCAGCAAATGAATGAAGAATGAAGGAACTGGGGGTGCAGGGACTGAGTGGAGGGGAGGGTAGCTGGAAATGAGGTGAGGTGTGGCAGGAGACAAAGGGGCATAGACAAAAACTGGGTCAGAGTGTAGGAGCATTGAATGCCACCTGGGGAGCTGGTGCCTTGGTTCCAGAGGGAAAGGGAAAAGAGGGTGAGTACTCTAGGAAATGAGTCATGTGGAGAGGGATAGAGGGATCCGAGGGTGTTTATCTTGGAGAAAAGACTTGAGAGCATGATTATCATCTTCAAATATGTGAAGGATCTGCACAACGACATGGCACTATGTATCATGAGTTCATATTTTTTGGCCCAGTAATTCTATGTCTAGGAATTTAGCTGAAGGAAATAATCCAAAATGCAGACACAACCTTCTGGACAAAAACATCCATTGCTGCATTGTTTATAATAATCATGAATTGGAAACAACCTAAATGTCCAGTAACAAGAGAGTTGTTAAATAAATCGTGACAGGTCTTTGCAATAGGCTATTATTGTCTATGGTTACGACAAAGTGTGTAAAAAGCTTAAAGGCTTGGGAACAGACTTTTAATATCATGTTAAGTGGAAAAGGAGGACATGAAATTGTCTATACAAAATAATCTAAAAGATATAAAAATAGTATAAACTAAATACAAACGCCAACATCTTATTTATAATTATTGCTGTTGATGAGTTTGTGAGTGACAGATATATATTCTCAGGCTGTTCCAAAGATTATTTGTAACTGAGAGTGGGAGTTGGGAGTGTCATTAAGTATACAGCAGTTTTCTTTTTTTTTTGAGACAGAGTCTTACTATGTTGCCCTCAGTAGAGTGCTGTGGTGTCGCAGCTCACCGCCACCTCAAACTCTTGGGATTAAGCAATTCTCTTGCCTCAGCCTTCCAAGTAGCTAGGACTACAGGCACCTGCCACAATGCCTGGCTATTTGTTGTTGTTGTTGTTGTTGCAGTTGTCATTGTTGATTTTAGCTGGCCTGGGCTGGGTTTGAACCCACTGGCCTTGATGTATGTGGTCGATGCCCTACCCATGAGCTACGGGTGCCACCATACAGCAGTTTTCTAAGTGAAAAATCACTGAATGAGACCCCTACTGTTTAAACATATATTTTATAATGTTTGTTTACCACCGCCACCATCACTACTATCTAATGTATTGAATATGGACCATGTAATAAGGATGACCTCTTTTTCCTATGTATTGTGTCTCTTAGCACTTTTAATTCTGAAGTGTATAGGTTTTATTTTTACTTGTATTTATCAGGTAAGAAAACCAAAGCTCGTAAAGGTCAAGGAACTTGTCTAAGATTACACCACAAGTAACTTTCAGAGTTGGGATTTGGACTTAGGAGACATGACTCCAAACTGTTACGTTACACTGCTAGCCCACTGCTTTTACATAGTCATATCATTGTTTCCAGTTATATATTCTTGGCTAGAAGTTTTTCTGAGTAACGGACTCCAGTGGCCAAAAGGGTATATCCTTGGCAATGCCTTATAGGTATTGACTGCTGTTCAAGTAGATCACTCAGTTGGGACAAAGTCCTCTGAACAGCAGATAGGGGTCATGCACTAAGAATTGTTTAGTAAAAGTGAATAACTAGTACTTATGGAGACCTTATCATGTGCCAAGGAACGTGCTAGGGTTTTAAAACATATGTTAACTAATTTAAGTCTTACAGCACCAGTAGTTCAGTACTAGTATAATTTTTACATATGAGGACACTGAGTTTAAATAATTTGTCCAAGGTCATGCAACCAAACAAAATATACAGCCTATCACACAACTTGCTACTATGCAACACTGCTTCTGTATTTGTGTTTAGTGAAATAAAAAAAAATAAAAATAAATCTTAATGGCTAGCTCCAGAATTCCTCTTGGAGAGATAACTATTTTTCTTTATTAAGAAATGCCTTGATAAACTATTTGGGAATAAAGACGTTAATGAGAGCTTCAGCAACAAAAGAATAGTCAAGGCTCTGTGCCTGTGAAAGGGAGAAGAATTTGTTTAGGCTCTAGAGGAGGAGAAGGGAGGGAGAGGGGCAGGGTGTGGTGTGGGGGGAGAGACGGGCAAGGTGGAGCAGGAAGCAGAAAGAGGGAGGTGGGGCAGCCGAGAGGCATGGAGGAGTAGGCCACACCTTAGTTTTAATTGGAAATTATTTGTGTTTTACATGTAAAACTCACCCTTCAGAATGCCGGTAGGTACTACTGGGCTCTCAGACATGTATGAATGTATTGTTGTTGTTATTGGAAATTGAAGAAGAGCCTGAATTTTACAACTGGCTCAATACTATGTGAAGCAGAAACTGCAATTTTAAAAAAGGACCGTAGAATTGTACACATGTAAGCAAGGAATGCCCCTAGAATTTGCAGAAGTTTGTAGGAGAAGGGTTAGACTTTCAGAGTCTGGAATTGGGGCTGCAGGAGACACTAGATGTCTCCAGGAGGTCCCAGCCAGCAGCCGAGTGACGACTTTTCCTGGTTTAAACCACTGACCATCCTGTAATTCCTTGCTCTAGTTTAGCCGTGCTTTTTCCAAAAGGAAGAGACCACGTTCAGAGAAGGTATAGAACTCCTTCCGGTTTGAGAGGAAGAGCTATTTCCTAAACCCAGCTGGTCTGATTGATTCTAAGCTCCATGGCCGTAGGACCCTTGCTGCCTCTCCAGCTGGATTTCCTCCTCTGTGGAATATCTCCAGGAGACCCCCACAGCTTCCTGGTGAGATTCTTATCCCCGGGTACTGTGATAGGCCAGGTCTTGCTTTATATGCCAGGCCTTGACCCTAGGTCAGCAACTGGGGGTGAATTTACTCAATAGAGCAGCATTTTTCAACCTTTTTCACTTCACGTCATGCTTGAACTCGTAGTTAAACTTCTGCAGCACACTTAAATTATGTTGATCAAAAAAGAAAATAGTAAAAAAAAAATATACATACTATGCTTTGAACTTCTTTCAAAAATAATTTAGTTAATGATCTTTAAAAATTCTCACAGTATGTCTAAGATCCTCTCAGGCATGCCTGTGTGCCGTGGCACCCTCTGGTTGAAAACCACTGCATTAGAGTACCCGGAGGAACAAGTGACTCTATACTCCTGAGGGGTGAACCAATGGGCGACATTAAAGGAGCAACCCCGAATCCGGTAAAAGTCTTAGAAGTAACAGTTTCCCAGTCTTAAAAATGTAAAAGTTACATTTTCCCAGTTTTAAATGTGCAAATTTAAATGTCCAAATAAGATCTGTTTAGCCTTGTGACAGAATTTGCATAATTTTAAAGTATTTTTTTAAATTAAAAAGTATTGTGTTAATTGTAGAACATTTGAAAAATATAAAAAAAAAGGTAAAGGAGACAAACTTTTGAGAATTCTAGCATGATATTCGCACTTAAAAAAATACCTTTGCCAATTTGGTTCCTAAAAATCATCCTTTCTTTTTTTTTTTTTTAGATGGAGCCTCAAGCTGTCCCCTGGGTAGAGCGCCATGGCATCACAGCTCACAGCAACCTCCAACTCCTGGGCTCAAGCAAGTCTCCTGCCTCAGCCTCCCAAGTAGCTGGGACCACAGGTACCTGCCACAACGCCCGGCTATTTTTTGGTTGCAGCCATCATTGTTGTTTGGCGAGCCTGGGCCGGGGATTCGAACCCGCCACCTTAGGTGTATGTGGCTGGCACCTTAGCCGTTTGAGCCACAGGTGCCAAGCCAAAACCATCCTTTCTTGTTTTCATTTGTATTGCTCGAGACCCCATAACTTTCCTCACGTCAGCTGACAATTTGTTTCTTCTTTCATAAATTGCCTTCTCATTCCTTTGGCCACATTTTTATGGGTAGGATTCCTGTTTAAATTGAACATAGAGCCATGAAAAGGGGGGATTATCCTGAGCATTTCACTCTTCCTTTGGTTCCCCCATGTAAAAAGATGAGGAGAAGATGAGTTAAAGTGTTAAAGTGTTTCTCCAGCTGTGTTTTCTAGAACAATAATTCCAGAGGACGATAATAGGTATAATGGGAAAAAGGGCTCAAATGAGTTGGAAAATGCTTCATTAAATTACATTAAATTGATTTCTAAATTGCAGATACACTACAGGATTTGGGGTAGCCTTTTGTGGTTAATAGAGTTTCAGGTTTCTCTACGGTGGGACAGATGGAGATAGATAACATTTCCTAAACATCTAGGGGCCCAGGTACTTTGGACAGACAACCTTGGTACAGGAAAGATTACAGGAGAAGGGGGTTAGAGGCCTATTCATCTCTTGGTTTGACACTGATGTGTTTTCTGACTTTAGATCAGTGGTTCGTAGCTTGTGGGTTGTGACCCACAGCAACTGTATTAAAGGGCCACAGCATTAGGAAGGTTGAGAACCATTGCTTTAGATAGATTCCAAGCATCTAATCTTTGGCAAAATAAACAAGAATATGTTTGAGATGGAACTCGAAGGGTACAAAAATTCTGATGGGAGCAAAGATATTCCAGGTGGAGGCAACTGAATGGACAAAGTCCAAGGTACTTTTCTACCCAGAGTGCTATCAAACCAAAGACAGGAGGACTTCTGTGAGTTGACCATCCAAGGGACTGTAACAAACTGATTTAAAAAAGGAGGTGGTCAACATAAGGAACCAGGCCTCCTGTACTGATATGTACATGTGACACATGTCCAGTCTATTAGGTCTCAACTTAGTAAGGTAGTCAGAGCAGAGAGGTGGCCAACTATGGAGGTTCTACTGTATTGTAACTCTGGTCTCTGTTTTATAACAACTCTATTCTATGAGTGAAAAGAGGAACAGATGTGTTTACCTCCTCGCAGTAGAGTTTCACCAAGTTCTTTTTATTTCTGTTTCAATACTCAGAAGCCCACCTGACTTTTCCTAAGTGTTCCTACCCATCTAGGTAGACCACATCATAAAAATTCATCTTTGAAATAAGAAACCTCATGGCTTCCGTCATTTTGACAGCCAGGCTTTGGACTTACAGAGAAATGACAGATGAATGTCTTGAAAATCCAGGGAAGGAGTTTTATGATCCGTTACTTGAGCAGCAGGTCTAGAATTTTCGTACGTGGTTTATTTTTGCTAATTGTATAATTTATCTATGTCAACTCATTAGAAGGGTGTTTGTTTTATTAAGAAAAAAAGCATGAATCAGAAGATAATTTGGATTGCTAATTGTGAAATAAATTACTCACTTTATAGAAATATCCCAAATTTGTGATAGGTCTGCATTTTAATTTCACCCGAGTTTCCTGAACATTCCCTTTATATTTGGCCCCTCGCTGGAGCATTCTGCTATCCAGGAGCTCACAGTTTGTGGGGGAACAGACTAGATCAAAGCTAAAGATAATGCCACAGTGCTCCTAAGGCTATGTTAGTGGATGTAACAAAAAAACTATGGATCCGGATGGGGCCTGTGGTTCAAAGGAGTAAGGTGCTGGCCCCATATGCTGGAGGTGGCAGGTTCAAACCCAGCCCTGGCAAAAAGGAAAAAAAAAAAAACCTATGGATCGCAGAGGAAGAGTGAATGTCTGTCTTGCTTGGTGAAATGCAGAAAAAATTCTTAGAGGTAATATTTAAGCTGTACCATAAAGCTGAAGAAGATTTTTATCCTTAAAAGGAAGGATAAGAAGACATTACTTGGGTGGCACCTGTGGCTCAAGGAGTAGGGTGCTGGCCTCACATACCAGAGGTGGTGGGTTCAAACCCAGCCCCAGCCAAAAACTGCAGAAAAAAAAAAAAATCAAGAAGACAGTACTCACTCTAAGGCTTCCCTGACCTCCAAAGCTAAGTTAATTTCTTCCATCACTGCTCTCATAAACAATCTTCCCTCCCACTGAGGCACAGAGTTTCCATTTCTTTGTGCCATTTTCTTGGTACTGTCTGTGCAGTTTATCTAGCTAAGGTTAGATTACATGTCTGGTGACAGCAGGGGCTATGTCCTCCCTTTCCTTACTAACCAGGACCCAGAACAGAGAATGAGCACAGTCAGTCCTGAACGGACAGGCGTGAAGGGCATTTGGGGAAATGTGGCCACTCAGCGTGGCTGGAGTAGGATGCAGAATGGACCTGAAACTAAATGCCTTGAGAAAAAAATCGCCACCTCTTAGATACCAATTGTGAACTAAAGTGACAAGATGAAAATAAAATCTAGCCAACCAACATTGCTAAATAGCCAGTGTGACCCTCCCCCCCAATCAATCTCTTATTTTCTAAAGTCCTGTCTGCTTTTAAAGCAGGTATGCAGGTTTCTGAAAAAAATGTCACTGTCAAAGTTCAGTGACTTTTCTCCTTCTTCAAAGTGAACGAGAGCTGCGGGGAATAACAAGATCCTTCTCAACCTTCAAAGTGAGATTCATGTTCCGCCTCATTGGAATCCTCGAACCTCAAAGCTAGCAGGGACATTGGAAAGCTGAAAAAACTGCAGCTCAGGCTGAGGAAGCGACTTGCCAAGGGCCACACAGTTGACAGGAGCAAAGCCGGGACGACAACCAAGGAGTGTCTGACTTCTGCCCGTCCCCTCGTCCACCACTGTTCTGAAGCCACTTGTCTTTCACTCAACAAGTTCCTGTGTTTCCAGGCTTCCTGCCTGCCCCAGAAGAGTTTCCAGTTTCACCTCCAAAGCCATCAGCGCCTCTTAGGCCCCTGCCAAACATCTGGCACTTGACAGGGATGCTCCCCGCTTCCCCCTCTCTGCAGGGTGCTGAAGGGGATGGGTCATGAATTAGGCCTTGAGTCCATACAGCCAGGCGGAGTACAAATAAACAGCCGGGAGAGCACAGGTGGGGACGAGAGTGAACGCTATGTCCTCCCCTCTCTGCTGCTGTCTGCAGGACGGCCTTCGTGCTCCTCTCTGGAGGGGTCTCAGACTTTGCCTCTCCCCCTAGCAGGGTCCAGAAATCAAGGCTTTGATTTCTACCCTTTGTAAGCCCTGACTTCCCTCTCCTATAATAGAGGTGTGCACACTTCCCACAGCATGCCGTCCTGTGTCACACTGTCATGTTTCTGATCTTGCTATGTCCCTTATCGGAAATTCTCCCTCCAAATTTCTAGGCCTTTAAGAAAATTCAGTTTAAAAGTTAATTCTTCCAGTTTGGGCAACATAGCAAGATTTGGGTATATAAAAAATAGAAAAATTAGCTGGGCATGGTGGCATGTGCCTGTAGTCAGTTACTTGGAAGGCTGAGGTGGTACCCTCATTTAAATTATTTAGAAGGCCAAGGTGGGAGTTTGAGATTGTATGAGCTATGGTGATGGCACTATAATCCAGCCTGGGTGACAGGGCAAGACCCTGTCTCAAAAAAGAAAACAAAAATTACTTCTTCTATACGTCATCTTTTACCGGCTGTCACTGCACTTTCAAGCCCTCACAGGTAGCATGGCCATTATAGCATTTATCTTTTTAGAATATACTGTCCATCTCCCCCACTAAGAATATAATATCCAACATTGGTAACTACCATTTATTAAGCACTGACAATGTGCTAGGAAATGCATTAAGAATTTCACTCATGTTGCTGTAGTTAATCTTTGCAATAGTCTTGTAAATTTGGTGCCCTCAAATCCAAGCTTGACACAGGGGCAATAAGAACCATTAGAGGGGACCTCGAGAAGTAGGAAGACAAGTAAAATAAATGTGTGGTTTTGAGGTCCCTGCTGTAGGCAGTGAGGGTTCAATTCCTTTCCTAGGAGAGTGGGAGGTTGGCACACCCACCCGTCAGCTACCATGTCCTGTTGGCTGGGAGGTGTCCGGAGAGCTGGGGGCTGTTAATGTCCTGGGGCTTCTGAGCTGAGCTTACCTGCTCAGGTCAAGCAGACCGTGGCAACATTGGGGAAAGTTCTGGGGCAGAATCTGAAAGATGGGAGGAACTTCCTTAAGCTGAGAAGCTGAAAAGCCCAGGGTGATTGTGAGCATGCTTAGAAATACCCATCACAGTCACAGCTGAAATTAGGGGAATGTCAGCAGGATGCAGTGAAGGTACCAGAGTGGTCTGCCCAGCAGACGGCGAGAGAACCAATATCCCTGACCCTGAACTTGGGGTCCTACTTGGTCAGTAGAGTAGATCTGAGAGCTCTGAGGCTGGGGGTGATGCCCCCTTAATCTCTGCAGCTTCAGTGCCTGGTGTAGTCCTGGCACATTCTGGGTTCTTTGCAGATGATAGCTGAACAATAGCTCTATGGGGGTTGAGTCTTATCCCAAACATTCCTCCAAGTTGTGATAAGGAACTCAAGGAACTTGTAGCCAATTTGGGAAGAAAGACAATTACTAAGTGTTTTGAAAGTAGAACTCTATGTTATGGGCACAGGAGGTGGGAGGCTTGCCTAGTTTTTGGCACGGAAGGGCCTATTAGAGGAAATGAAGTTTAAGCTAAAACCTGAAGAATGAATGAGTTAGTGAGGGTGGGTGGGGGGAGGAGAAACATTTGGAGAAGGCCTGGAAGCAGGGCTGGGGGGAGGGGCTAAGAGAAGACCCATAGGGCTGTGGTGTGGTGAGGAGGACCTGGTCATGGTGACCAAGCCTGGAAGGAGGTGACGCTGGGTCACAGAGGACTTCTTTGTAAGCCGGGTGAGGAAAGCTCATCTGGTATGGGAAACAAACAAACAAACAAACAAACAAACAAAAAAAGGGATAAGAGGAAAGCAAGAATGGAACAGGAAGACCAGTTAGGGGCCTCTGGCTGATGTCCCGAGGAAAGATGAGGCACGTTGGGTTAGTGTCCGGGGTGGTGAGGACTGGAGAAGGCAATGGATGCTGGAGCTGTGTTTGCAGCTGGCGAGGGGCCGGAGGGAGGAGAAGAGAGAGCACTAGCAGAGATGCTTCCCAGGCTTCTGGCTGGAGCAGGCGACCGTGCGGCAGGTGGTAGTGTCATTGCCTATGATGGGGCTGTGGGAGGACAAGGTTGGGGAGTGGAAGGTGATAGGATCTGTGTCGATCATGCTGAACTTGAGAAATAAGTCTATGGAATATTCTGGTGGGTCAGTGGCCTATGCCCAGACCTGAGGGTCATGGGTCAGGATGAGGGTGAGGCAGGCAGGCACAAAATGTAGGGAGGCACTTGAATGAGCATTTCCCTGAAGTTGGCAGCCCCGGCACTGGCTCCCCTCCCTGGAGTCCTAATCCCTCACGAGCGCAGGAGGGAGGCTCTGGGGGGAGTCCCGAGTTGGGACCACAGCAGTGCTGGTGATGGAGTGGACGTTTGTAGTTGTTTAAGCACCCAGCTTCATTCTGGGGAATTCGCTTACTCCCTCGTGTATCCTGGAGCGACCTTGTGTTCAAAATAGATGCCTGCCTCCCGCAATAGAAGCCCCAGAGGGCCCTGGAAGAACGTGCTGTGTCAGAGCCTGAGTCTCACGTCCGCTGCTGTGCTCCGTGTGAGTCTTGATCTCGTGGTTTCTAGCCAAACAGTTAAGCAAGGCGTTCAAAGACGAAAATGAACAGCTGTAGGCTTTTTAAGTTTACTGGATATCTTTCTGTCTTGAGGTCTCCTGTTGCCATTCCTCAATTCTAACAGAAGGCGCTATCACTCTTTTCTGAGAGCGTGGCATGTCAGAATTTGAGGCCTGGACGCACTGTGGCAATTTTTGTTACCATCAGGGGAGCCCCTGAAGCTATTTGGGGGTTGGGTTTAGGGTAGTTTGGGGGAGCAGGAACCAGTTAGGGGAGAGGTCTTAGAATAAGTTAGATGTAGAGTCTTAGAATAAGACAGACATCAAGGGTGGTGGATCAGAGACAGTGAAAGGAATCGGATCCCCCGTGATGCTGTTGTGAACGGCTGGGTCAGTGCTAGTCTCTGTGGAATGAGTTGTCAGTAAGCCAGAGGCCACGCTGCTAGCAGAGTCCTCAATAAAGGGCCCCAGTAATATGGAAGTTCATTCCTCTCAGAAGTCAAGTCTGCCGTGTGCAACCGGTGGCTTCTGCCTCCAGGTTCAAAGTAATCCCTAGTTGACCCATTTCTCAGCCCACGAGAAGAGCAGAAGTTAGAGCTCTCAGCATTGTTCTTAAAGAAAGTTCCCGAGCAGTCATCCTCATCTTCCTTTACCCGCCACTGCACAGCGACGCCTGGATGCAAGGGCAGGTGGGAGGTGCAGTCTCGGGGGTGTGTTTGGAAGACACGAGGACACCTTTGGGTCACTTGTTGACCCAGAGGTCTCTTACTAAAGAAAGGGGGGATAGCTATGGGAGGCCTTAATTAGTTTTTGCCTAAGCAACATATTTTTTCTCCTATCAAGCCCATTTGAGTTAGAGTTTCTGTTCTTTGCAATAAATATTCACTTCATGTCTCGGAGTCTCTGCTTTTCCTGTCACGCTTTCTCTATGACCTTGAAGGGGCAGCCCCATGCTGAGCTGTTTGAGTGCCATCGATTTTAATTTGTTCAGGAACAAAGAGGGAGGGAACCGGCCTGAGATCACACCCTGTGCCAGCCCCGTTGTAGATTGTTATTTCCATAGGCTATGTCCTTTCAGCCTCAAAATAACTCTTTTTTTTTCTTTATATTCAGGTTGCAGGTGAGGAAAATGAGCTAGAGAGAGAGGTTTACACGAGGTGGTCCCATAGTGAATAGAACTGTGATTCGCTGATTGTCTGTGTCATTTTAACGTCCTCATTTTCTTCACTTCCTCCCCTCTGTGTCACTGCGGTAATGAGGCGGTGTAATAATTAGTGGGGATGCAGGGGGCAGCACAGACTGGCAGCGGGGGGGTAGATGTGAGCGCGCAGAGCCGCAGGCCTGGGTGTGCTGTGTGTGCCCATGTGCGTGCGTGCCGGTGTGTCCACAGAAATGTGGAGGTGGTCGGCAGGGAGAGGGGTGCTGATGGGATTGGTGAGGGATCCACCCGAACAGCCCTCACTGTCCCAAGACCTCCTCCTTGTCAACAGACTCTTCTTTCACAGGCCTTGGCTTGCTGACTGGGGGTTTATTTGGACAGGGTGGCCTGCGGCCTGGGGCGTCCTGCTCCGACAAGCTCAGGGAGGCTGGGATCCATGCAGAGACTCTGTGCGGCCCTGTGGTGTGAGGGGCGGCGGGGAGGCTGCTGCAGACGCAGAGGGAGCAGCAGTGGACGCGCAGGGCAGCGGCAGGGCGGAAGGAGGGTGCGGACGCCAGCGTCAGCCAGCTGGACTTCCAGGAAGGAAAGCCCGCCCTCCGCCGCCCAGGCCGCTTCAAGCTGCCGCAGGATGTCTCGTTCCTGAGAAGGCCCTCTCCCAAGAATTCTATTGTCCGATCTTTAGGAAAGAGAGGAAGCTTATTCCTTCTGGGGCACAATGAGGACACCGGCAGCCAAGGACGCAGGGGAAGCAAGGAGTCCTTGAGTCCCCTCAGAACCTGCTGCAGCCCGTCTTCTGGCAGGTGTCCAGGGAGCAGGGCTCTGGGAGGAGCTCCTGGTGGGGCAGCCATGGCCTTGGAGGGAGGAAGCAGAGGGTCAGCCTGTGACCTGGCCCAGTCCCGTCTCCTTGCAGGCTGTGACCACCTTGACCATTTCTCTGGGGGGTCTCCAGGCTTCCTCTGCCACACCCCAGTGTGCCTTCTGTGACCAGGCAGAGCTGCTCACTACCCCCACTCCCACCATGCCAAGTTCACTCTCCCGTCCCTGCTTCCCCTGTGTCTGCTCATCCTTCACAGGCCTGATCCAATGTCACCTCTTGCAGGAATCCTGCTGTCACCGGTGCCTGCTTTCTGCTGAGCCCACCTTACTTTTACCTGCTCACCTTCCCACCAGGCATGTATCTTATGTTTTGTTGGTTTCCAGTACCTACGTGTTGGTAAGTGGAGAATCCTGCTGTTATTTTGGATAAATGTTACATATTAAATGAATACATAACTGGGATTTCCTCGTACATGCTCATGGATGCAATTCACAAGATTTTTTGTTGAGCTTTGTTTTTTTTAGACTTTTTTTTTTTATTAAATCATAACTGTGTACATTAATGCAATCATGGGGTACAATGTGCTAGTTTTACACACAATCTGAAATGCTTTCATCAAACTGGTCAACATAGCCTTCACGGCATTTTCTTAGTTATTGTGTGAAGACATTTATATTCTACACTTACTAAATTTCACATGTACCCTTGTAAGATGCACTGTAGGTGTGGTAACAAAGTATCTCAAGAATGGAAGAAAAAGTATCCAATGTACTCAGTCTTACTATGAAACCAATTATAGCCCAAGAAGAAGGTGAAAGGGGAGAGGGACGGGAGGGGATGGGGGAGGATGGGTGGAGGGAGTGTAGTTGGTGAACTTTGTGTTTGAATTTTGCAGTTCAGGGAGTGTGGATACAGTCCTTATGTGCATTTAGCCTCAAGTAATACCATAAATGAGCCACAGGTCACACACTCATTTCTGACTGTGTATATGCTTCAGCATGGCCACGCTTCTTCTGATATTCCTCTCTAACTAAGAGTTTGGGAACAGGTGACGTTAATGCTTCTTCTAGTTGGAAAATGCAATGTTCTAGGTCTGAAATACTGAGATATCACCTAACTCCAATATGATTAGCCCACATCACAAAATCCCAAAACTGCAGATGCTGGTGTGGATGTGGAGAGAAGGGAGCACTTCTACACTGCTGGTGAGACTGCAAACTAATACAACCCTTTGGGGAAGAATTATGGAGAATTCTCAAAGAGCTTCCATTTGATCCCACAATCCCATTACTAGGGATCTACCCAGAGGAACAAAAAGCTTTTTACCACAAAGACATTTGCAACAGGATGTTAGTTGCAACTCAGTTCACAATTGCCGAGTCATGGAGGCAACCTCAATGCCCATCAACCCATGAGTAGATCAACAAATTGTGGTATATGCATACCATGGAATGCTATTCAACCATAAGAGGTGATGGAGACGTTACATCTTTTATGTTTATAGGATGGATTTGAAACACATTCTTTTTAGTGAAGTATCTCAAGAATGGAAGATAAATATCCAGCATACTCAATACTAATATGAAACCATTATATAAATAGTTACATGCTCATACAAACGATAAAACACACAAATAGTCTAGCAAGGGGGGGGATGATAGGAGGGAGGGCAATTATCGGGATCTCACCTAACGTGCACACTGTGAGGGTGTTCAGCACGCCCCCTGGGTGAAGGGCCCAACTACAGCTTGAACCTTACCTTGGAAATGAGAACACTGTAGCCTAAAAATTTCTTCCCTCATATTAATTTGAAATAAAAAAAAAATGTGACCTCCTAAGGACATTTGGATTTTATTTATTTATTTATTTTTGGCGGGCTGGGGGGCTGGTGCCCTACTCCTTTGAGCCACAGGCCCTGCCCTGACATTTGCATTTTAAAGGACTCACTTGAATAGGCTGGAGAAGCCTCAGGGCTTGGGGTTCAATGGGGAGGTGAAATAGCAAGCAGGGTGACAAAGGCACAGATTCACAGAACTTTCTTCAGAGTGACAAGGTGGAGACCCTCCATTCAGCTTCCTTATTCCACTTGCTGTTGAATGCACCTACCCGCTTTAAAACTTAACCAAGGAACAGACAGGAAGGAAAGTGAAATGCACGTTGCTGGGTGGGAGGAGCCCGGCTAGAAAGGCTGCACACTGTGTGGTACCAACAACTATGTGTTGTTCCAGTAACGGCAAAATGACAGGAACAAATAAAAGATCAGTAGTTGGGAGGGGTTCAGGGAAAAAGGGAAGAGAGGCATGAACAGGCAGGCACAGAGGATTTTCAGGGCAGTGAAACTATCATGTGTGATACTAGAATGGTGGATACTTGTCATACATTTGTCCAAGCATAGAATAAATGACACCACGACTGAACCCCAAGGTAAACTATAGACCTCAGTTACTGGTAATGTGTCAATACCAGCTCATCAGTTGTAAGAAATGTAGTGCACTGATCACAGCAACACCAAAAATAAATGGGGCATGATCAAGCTGGGAAGCTTCTGCACAGCTAAGGGTACAACAACCAAAGCAGATAGAAGGGGAGAAGATATTTGCATGGTAAGAATCTGACAAAGGCCTAATAACCAGAATCTACAGAGAACTCAAACTAATCAACGAGAGCAAACGACCTTGTTTATCACTGGACAAGAGACATGAACCCTCTACCAAGGAGACAGGTGAATGGCCAACAAACACATGAACAAATGTTCCTCATCCCTAATCATCAGAGAAATGCAAATGAAAACTACACTGGGATATGACCTAACCCCAGTGAGAAGAGCCCACATCACCAAGTCTTAAAGCTGCAGAAGCCGGCAAGGGTGGAAAGAAGGGAACACTTTTACACTATCGGTGGGATTGCAAACTAACATAGCCTTTTTGGAAAGAAGTATAGAGAATCCTCAAAAAGCTAAAAGTAGGCCTTCCATTTGACCCTGTAATCCCATGACTAGGTATCCATCCAGAAGCAAAAATTAATTTTTACCATAAAGACAGTAGCAATAGAGTGTTTATTGCAGCTTGATTCACAATCACCAAGTTGTGGAAATAGCCCAAGTGCCCATCAACTCATGGATATATAAGTAAATTATGGTATATGCATACTATGGAATACTATTCGGCCATAAAGAAAGATGGAGACCATATGTCTTTTGTATTTACCTGGATAGATTTGGAGAACATCCTCCTAAGTAAAGTATCACCAGAATGGAAAGGCAATATGAATATGAAATTACAGTGTACTTAATATGAATACAAAACTAATAGATGAACAAGTACAGGCCCACACAAGAAAAAACCAGAATTAAATTCAAGTACTGGGGGGAAGAGAGAGGGAGTGTGGTGAGCTCTCACCCACCTGGTGTGATGTAGGGGTATAGTGCCCCTCCTGGGTGAAGGGCTCAACTGTAAGTTGGACTTTATCTAACAAATGCGAACAGTGTTACCTAATAGTGAGTGCCCTCATATTAATCTGAAACAAAAAAACAAAAACAACACAAAATAAAAGAAATGTAGCACACTGATGCAAAATGCTAATTATAGCGGAAATTATGTGTGGAAGGGAAATTATGTATGGTGTCTCTTTGGAGTTCTTGCTCAATTTCTCAGTAGACCTAAAACTAAAACCAAAACCTATTAATAATAACAGAGACTCACCCATCTCCTTAATCATAGCTAATATATGCACAGCACTTACCATGTACCAGGTACTGTTCCAAAAACTTTGCATCGGTTAACTCCTTTTAAAAAGTTCTGATATCAAGCCCGTGAGCTAATTATTATTCTCATTTTCTGATGAGGAAACTGAAGCACAGTGGGGCTAAGTGCATTTGTGCCCGGCTGCACTACGCTTTTCTGTTCTGTACCAGATCACATGACATTTGGAGCTGCACATACACAGGTGTCCCTTCTTACAAGGAGCCTTTCAGACCTGTCATAGGCAGGGGTGCTCTCGTCAGGCCCTGGCCTTCCCCTCTGCAGGTGTACCCCATATGGCACGTGCTTGATGAATGAATGAATGATAAGGGGATGCCATTTTGTTGCATCCACCAAACTACCAGGTCGGAACGGTCCACAGAAAGGCAGTAGGTGGGTGAGTTTGCTGTGGCTGCTGTGGCGCGCTCTGTGTGCACGCAGGCAGACTCCTGTTCTCTGATGCCTTCAGGCCTCCTCGCTTGATCACTTCATCTACATCATCGCTTGGCCTCAGGGTCAAGTCCACCACTGAAGTTTACTGTGTCTATTTTTTTTTCTCTTTCTGAAAATGAATATAATGTTGGCCACACTCCTATCCTGCCATGCTGCTCCTGCTCTTCAGGTCCCCCCTTTGGGGATGGAATTTATTCTAAGCCAGAAAATGAGCATTGTCCTAAAGAAATGAAGCCCATTCGGGCAGCACCTGTGGCTCAAGGAGTAGGGCACTGGCCCCATATACCGGGGGTGGCGGGTTCAAGCCTGGCCCCGGCCCAAACTGCAAAAAAAGAAAAAAAAGAAATGAAACCCAGTTTCCTGAGGGTGCTGTCCCTTGCCAGTGGCAATAAAGAAAGGAGGAGGGCTTCAATTTTCCCTGCCACTTACAGGCTGCACAGCATGGGGCCCTGTCAGCCCCCTGCCCCCTCCCAGTTTGCAAGGATTCTCCCCTTGATAATAATCACCCCGTGGAGACATCTGTGGTCTGAATTCTGCTCCCTTCCTGGCGGCCCTGGGGAAGCTGTGTTTTGACTGGGACCCTGAGAGCTGGGTTGAGGCTGGGGCCTCACTGAGGACTAAGGGTGGAGCCAAAGAAGGTCGGAAAGCTGCGTGCAGCATAGGAAGCTGGAGGTGAGCAGAAGGGCGGCCGTACCTGAGTGTGCCTCAGCCACACTTCACCTCTCACTCCCGAGTCTGCAGGGCCCGTCACTGTCAGCTCCCTCTTGGTCCTTGCTCCCTGCTCTGCCTTCCTTTTTTTTTTTTTTGCTGGGGCTGGGTTTGAACCCACCACCTTCAGTATATGGGGCCGGCGCCCTACTCCTTGAGCCACAGGTACCGCCCTGCTCTGCCCTTCTTACGCTAACTTTTACCTTTCTGCTGTCTGGTGTCAGCAGAAATGTTAATATCTCCAAAGATCCTTTTTAAATTCCTCTTACAGGTTAGGATGCCAGCCGTGTACTCTCAGAGGGTCCTGCCCTTCTCCTAGCAAAGCACTTATTACACTTAATAGTAGCGGAATACAGTTACGGTGAGACTTTCTCCTTAGTTTATGAGCTGTATCAGGGGAGAAAATGGCTCTGTCTTATTTGCCATTTTATCCCTCTCTGCAGGGCCTGGAACAGGAGCAGGGCTCATTAAATATTTGTTGAGTAAATGAATGAA